CCAGCCTGTGGCTCTGCTGCAGGCGGAGCTGGGACGGGGAGAGCAAGCGCGTTACCGTGGGGGGTGGCAGGGTCCCCCCGCGAATCCCGGCCGGAGCTGGGGGCATCCCACTGCCTGCCCTGAGCCACAGGACTCTGGTAGCAGGTTTAAAACGAATAAAAGAAAGTTCTTCACACAGCGCGGAGTCAACCTGTGGAACTCCTCGCCAGAGGAGGCTGTGCAGGCTGGGACTATAATAGTTTAAAGAGAAGCTAGATAATTTCATGGAGGTTAGGTCCATAAAAGGCTATTAGCCAGGGGATAAAATGGTGTCCTTGGCCTCTGTTTGTCAGAGGCTGGAGAGGGATGGCAGGAGACAAATTGCTTGATCATTGTCTTCAGGCCACCCTTTCTGGGGCACCTGGTGCTGGCCACTGTCGGCAGACAGGATACTGGGCTAGATGGACCTTTGGTCAGACCCAGTACAGCTGTTCTTATGTTCTTATGTTTTTTTTATTTTATCCTCTAAACCTACCCCCTTTCCAGGAGCTAGACAGTGCTAATGGGCCATCAACAAAGACAATGGACCATGGAAATGGTTTGTCCTCACTTGGGAAAGCTTGAGACAACCTATTGATAATGACTGTCATAACGCATTGGGAGCATGGAAGTGCTTCTGACCAGATGATCACATGACACTGAACTCCATTTTGGTCCCCCAAACTGGTCTGGGAACTTAGCTTGGAACAAAGGGTTCCCACCATAAGATGAGGAGTGACATCATGATTTGTCTTTCCCTCCTGTACAACTCAACACCTGAAAGAAGCCTTGGAAAACAAAGCATTTGAAATGTGGGAGGGGAACCAAGGTTGTACAGCAAAAGCGATCCTGGCCTGGAGGCTGGAGGCCTGAGCAGTGCCCGGAGGGCTGCATGTCTCACCCGCTCCGAGCCCCTCGGGCGCCAGGGGGCCGTGGCTGGGGGGGGCTTGCAGCCCTTTAGGCAGGGGAGGAAGGCCCTTGAAGAAAGACCCCTCTTCCCCCATCCACTGGCATTCTGCCATGGGGCCTCAGGCTGGCCGGGGAGGGGGGAGAGGGGCAATCTGCTTTGATCTGTTTGCTATCACTTAAAATCCACCTTTTTCTAGTTAATATACTTGTTTTACTTTAACCAGTGTGGTGTTGGGTGAAGCGTTTGGAAAAATCTCAGCTTGGTTAACACAGGCTTTTTTGCATAGCTCTCCAACATCTGAGGGTGAAGCAAACCTATTGAATGAGATTGCACCATACAGATCTATGTGGAGTGCAAGATGGTCGAATGCTTGGTTTATACATCAGTAGGGGTGCGAGACTGAGGAGCTGGGAAGTTGACTGCTGCTTCCATATTTGATCCTTAAGTGGCTTAGGTAAAGCACTGAGAACTCAGTTGGTTGTGTGATGCTGTCTACTGCAGTGGTGGGTGATAACAGGGACTGGCTGATATCATGCACAGAGCAGTGTGAGAGGCCAATCTAGCTGAAAGGTTTTGAGGCACAGCGGTTGCTTCCAGGTTGCACCCCAAAGGGCAAGGTACATCCTCTCACAGCATCATCTTCCCGAGACTGACCCTCATGAATCAGAGAAAAATACCTGTTAGATGTCTGTCCCCTTCCAGTACTGGAGCTCATTCCAGACTGCTCCAGTGCATCAGGGAGCTGCAATAACAATTCTGTCAATCTCATTAAATAACCATGACTCAGGCCCCCCCAAATCCTGCAACTGGTTTAAAACTCCTGAGATTTCTTTTAAAAATAATAAATGGTGAGTTCTTTTTATGTGCCTTCCACAGTGATAAAATCCTGGGAGTTGGGAACAATCTCATAGGGTACAATCTCATAGGGTATGTCTACACTGCCACCCTAGTTTGAACTAGGGTGGCTAATGTAGGCGTTTGAAGTTGCAAATGAAGCCCAGGATTTAAATATCCCGGGCTTCGTTTGCATCTTGCCGGGAGCCGCCATTTTTAAATCCCCATTAGTGCTACACGTGGCACAGAGTAGGTAGTTTGAATTAGGCTCTCTAATTCGAACTACTGTTACTCCTTGTGGATTAGGGGGATTTAAAAATGGCAGCGCCCGGCAAGATGCAAATGAAGCCCGGGATATTAAATCCCGGGCTTCATTTGCAACTTCGAATGCCTACATTAGCCACCCTAGTTCGAACTAGGGTGGCAGTGTAGACATACCCATAGTTGGTGACTTTGAGTTTGTTTCTTTTTTAAGACCCACATGATCATCAGAGACTGATTTTTCTTTCTTCTTTTTTCACTGATAGATGTAAAATAGGTTTCTAGCCCTTATTTTTGCAGAGAACTTGAAAATGTGAATGTTAAAGGCTCAAAACCCAGAAAGTAATTAACTCCCCCATGTAATTGTAACAATGAATGATTTTTAAGATAATGTCTTTATTTTGTCAAGGGGCTGATTTCTTATTTTTCAATACAACAATGAGGGCAAGAAAGTTGTTTTCTAATGAAAGTTGAGCATCTAACATAATGCCATGACTCCAAGAGCTGGGGCTTCAGGAAGCTTACAACAACATTGCAGGAGCAGACAACACTGCATCAGATGTTAGACATTGCAGGGAGTGCACACACCTAGGCTACGTCTAGACTGGCATGATTTTCCGCAAATGCTTTTAAAAGAGCATCTAGATTGGCATGGACGCTTTTGCGCAAAAGCACTTTTTTGCGGAAAAGCGTCCATGCCAGTCTAGATGCGGTTCTGCACCAGA